TGCAGTGTTGGGGTGCCTCCAGGACCAGGATTGGGAACCACTGCTCTAAACCACTGGACTTCGAGTAATAAAATACAGTGAAAACATCTCTAGATCACTAAGAACCACCTAGCACTGTGAGTTTTGGACGGGCAAGCGTCACTCACATTTTCTTAACAAAATTGAAAGCAGTTTAATAGTTTTATCACTCAATTATGTCAATCTGTGTTGAAGGTCAGATGTCAGATATGGCTCAGGAAACTGAACAGGAATTAGCACAAGCAAGTGAGAAGAACACACACACACATACACAATTAAATAAGTGTCCCAGTATCTGCCATGTTTCCCCTCTGGGTTTAGAGCGAGGGGTTCAGTGGCGCTCCACTCCAGACCCTGAGCAGCGCTCTGCTCTGACCACTGCAGGCGAGCATTCAGTGTCAATTACTTTATGCTTATACTTTATATTACTATTCATATACAGTATATATGCCATTAATGAGAAATCATTTTAAATCCAGGAGTCACAGTGCCTCCATTTTGGGCAACAATCCTTCTGAACTCTGACCCGAATGGAAACCGTTCTGTCAGGCGACCCGCAGGTGAGAAGGAGAGACGATTGAGGCTTCATCTGAGTGTTTTGAAGACTGAATTTGTTTTGTGTTTTACTCTGCAGACTCTTTAAAGACCTGTGAACACGAGCGAATGTCTGTGCTCACTGAAGCGGCCATTCAAGGCTCAGAAGAGCGTTTTGTCCCAGAATGCAGTGCAGATGGGAGGTACAGAGCCGTTCAGTGTCACAGCAGCACAGGATACTGCTGGTGCGTGAGAGTGGATTCAGGGTGGCCCGTCCCGCGCACTTCAGCCAGGTAGGGAGGTTGTGTGTCTGTGTGTGTATTAGTGAGTGTAGAAAACTCTACATGATTCTGAACTGTGTGCAGGAACCAACTGCCTGACTGCAGCGCTCAGGAAACACACACGCTCATCATCAACAACAGCTACACACACACTCCTCTCTCAGGTCAGTATTAGAGAAGTGACATGCAGAATGGGAAGAATGTCAAAGCAACAAATCCTGTAGAGGGAAAACATGCATTTACCCTTTTAAATCTAGACATGACCAAGTTGTTTATACAAGGTATCATATAGACCATATGTGGAAGCTTGAGTAAAAAAATAAAAAGTCAATTTTAAAGGTAATCTCTTACCAATCAGAATATTTATCTCAAAATTTGGACTTTTTCCTTCATGATTCTGAGTTTATATCTCACAAATCAGACTTTTTTCTTACACTGCTGAGGAAAGATTGTCAGTAACTTGGAAGAATTGTGAGATACAAACTCAGAATTGAATGAAAAAGTCATCATAAAAACTCATAATTGCGAGATGTAAAATTAGAATTGCGTAGAAAAAGCCTGAATTGAGATACAAACTTATAATTGCAAGAAAAAAGTCTGAATTGTGAGATATAAACTTAAAATTGTGAGAGAAAATTCTGAATTGTAAGATACAAACCCAGAATTGTAAGAAAAAAAAAGTCTGAATTGAGATGAACTCAGAATTGAGG